AACTGTCAGAGGTGTGTGACTGCAGAGCTGTCCTGGTCCTGATCTGGTTTTGACCCAGGCAGCTAGAGTCTCCCCTACTCTCCTGCTGAGAGATGCCGCCTAGGCCTGGAGTATTTAGGAGCTCTTGAGCTGAACAAGCTGAGTGGTGGGAACTTCTGTCTGCCCGGGTCCCACGCCACATCCTGGCCTTGGAGGATGTAGACCCAAGGTCTGGACATGCTTCCCAGCTATTCCCAGGCGGCCTGCTCTCCCTCCAGCTCAGCCAGGCTGCCTGAGCCAAAGGGCTACAGAGGCAGGTCTGTTCCCCTCCAGCATCCCTTTGTCTCCACTCAGAGGAGGGCAGACGGCAGGCCTCAGCACATGGAAGGTCAGGTTTGAAAGCTAGCTTCCATCAGCCCTGAAGCCCCCTGGCCCTGCTGGCCTGGGGAGGCAAAGGAGCCTCTAATGACCAAGTCACAAAACCTACCACTACCATCAGGGGCTTTTCATGTCTCTAAGTTCTCAGAAAGTTTTAGTCTATCAACTTCCCCAAGCATCCATCCCTTTCCCTGGATGACCTAGGAAGAGATGCAACCAACAGGCATCACTACAGATGAAAACAAAATAGATAAAACCCAGCATTGGTCCCCTGGCATCCTGCGTTCCACAACCCTCTAGGATGCCCCAGCTCTGGGCCAGACATTGTACATGGGAAGGATACAGCAGTGGGAAGTCACCGCACGCACTCTTCCGGGAGGCAGTCAGGAAGGACAGTGCTATTGCTGAGTGCTATATGGAACACAGTGCAAGATAGCATGGGTGAACGTGTGTGACTCCATCTGGGGAGGAGGAAATGATACTGGACAAGGGCAATGCAGGACACTTCTGGAAAGCAGTGACCCGGAGGACGATACAGTAAGAGATACTGAATGGTGACATGTCTCTCAACAACAGGCTGTCTCAGAAGGAATGTGAGGACGGGGCCAACCCCCAGTCTTCAGGGACTTTCACTATAAATGAGCCTCCAAGGGCAAGAATATGATTCTTTCTGTCTCATCCTCGAGAACTAGACTGGACTAGACACACATGCACCAGATCCTCAGAATGTGCACCTCAGTCTGCCAAGGAATAAACAAGAGCCCCCAGGACAAGTCTCTAGTAACCCGACAACCCCTGATCCTCTATTGCCCAGTCTCCTCCTGGTTAAGTATTAAAAACTTCATGGGCCGTAACACCCCATCCAGTATCAAACAAGGCATCTCTCAGCCTCCAGCACAGGGGTCCTTCATGTCACAAACTGGGGCCCGTGTGCATTTTCCAAAGTACTACTGGCTTCTTCCCACACAGTCACACTTCTTCCACCACACTGCGCACAGCTGCAGGATCCCACACTACTGTAGACAGTAGTTGGCAGGCAGTGCCAAGGTGTGTGATCAGCATCTACACGAGAATCGCATGGTACACGCTACCCACAGCCAGTCTGGAGCACGTGAGAGATGCCCCAGAGCCCAGCCTCTGGGCTCCTGCATCATGGACCACAGCATGAGAAGGGAGACGTTGATTAGAGTGGCCTGTTCAGACACTATCCCATGAAGGTGGCCTCTGAGTAAGTAATCCAAACACCAGCTGCTCGCAGCTTCTCAGCGAAAAGGCCTCCGTGCCATTTGTGGTACTTACTCATATTCACACATCCAATCAGTATTTAGTGAGAATTTACCACATGCCAGATGCTGTAGCTGGGACTGTGTCTTCTTTTGCATGCCTGTATCCCCCTCCAAAACTCATTCACTGGGGGCTGGATCAATAACTCAGCAAGTAAAGTGCCGGCCTTGCAAGCTACAGGACCTGAGTGTGGTTCCCCAGAACCCACACTTAAAAAGCCAAACGCTGTGCCAGGAAGATTGCTCAGTAGTTACAGCATTTGCCAGGCAAGTGTGAGAAGGCCAGAGTTCAGATCCCCAGAATCTGTGTAAGTTCTGGGTAGCTGGGATGGCCTTTCTGTTGTTCCAGCCTCAGAAGGCAGAGACAGGGAACCCTGAACAAGCTGGCTAGCAAGACTATCCATATTGATGAGCTCTGGGTTTGACTGAGAGATCCTGCCTCAGTGAATAAGGTGGAAGATTGGTAGAAGATGGTTCTGACCTCAGCTTTGGGCCTCTGTATGCACTCACACATACAAGTGAATCTGCACACACGTGCACCTCCATACATGTACACTACACACCAACACCGACACACACACACACACACACACACACACACACACACACACACACACACACACACATATGAATCCTCAACACATGGTGTATTTAACATGTATTTAACATTTGGGGCAAGTGGCTTGACCCTCATATAATATACTATAGTATATGAATATCTTGAAAAGGAAGAAAAAGACCCGTGTAGGCTCTGTCCCTTCTACTGTGTGAGGATATAGCACTCACTCACCTCTCTGAAGGACTTACCAAGTAAGGTACCGCATTGGAGAGAGACTCTCTCTCATGGGAATTACCCAGTTAGTGACTATATCTTGAATTTAGACTGAAGAAGAATGAGAAATGGACTAGTTGCTCATAGATCATGCAGTCTGGGATGCTCTGTTAGAAAGGCCTAAGCAGGCTGAGATGGGTGAAAGATGCAATGTTAAACCAGATCCTCGACTTGTGGGAGCGAGTAGGTTGATGAGAGTCAGGAGGAACGTGCTTTTCAAACTGTGCTAAGTGTCCCATCAGGGGTCAACGTCTCTGGAGAAGGGTCACCTGAGCTACCTGAAAGAAACAAGGGCTAGAGGGGACTTTGTAACCATGGGGACACCGTGTGGAGTCTGAAGCATGGCTGTGTATTCCTCAGGTGTGGATCTGTAGGTAGCTGGAAGGGCAAGGGTTAAGAATGCGCACAGCGAGGCATGCAGGACCTGGGCAGCTAGTGTGCAGAGGCTAAAAAGTCAGCATGGGGTTTCCTCTTCTGAGATTCTGAAACTGGGTCTGGGATTTTTCTAGATTTCCCATTAAAAGAATTTATGTTCAGATAGAAAATGTCAAGGGGAGAACAGTTCAACTTCACATGGAGAGAGAAGAGTCTAGGCGTTCGAACCTCAATGACCTTGCCACTGCCTCTGGGGCCCAGGAGCACTTCCACAGACCCTGTGGTGGTGTGGATGAGGGATGGCCCTCACAGGCTCATGTTTGACTACTTGGTACTCAACTGATGCAGCTGTTAGGAAGGATTAGATGTGGCCTTGCTGGAGGAGGGGCATCACTGGGAGTGGGCTCTAAGGTTTCAGAAGTCCTCGCTGTTCCCAGTTAGCTAGCGCTCTCTCTCTCTCTCTCTCTCTCTCTCTCTCTCTCTCTCTCTCTCTCTCTCTCTCTCTCTGACATGTGCTTGTGAATCTGATGTAAGGGCTCAGCTCCTTCTCCAGCACCATGCCTGCCTGCCTGCTGCCCTACTCCTCACCATGATGGTCATGGACTCTAACCCTCTAGAACCATGAACCCCAAATAAAACGCTTTCTTTTATACGTTACTTTGGCTGTGGTGTTTTGTCACAACAACAGAAAAGCAGCTAAGACAGACCCCACACAGAGAAAGCAGAGGTGGGGGTGCTACCGTTTTCTCTAGCACCCACTGTCACTCTACAAACCCAGCCCCAAACAACTGACTCTGGAAAAGACTGTCCTCTTTCCTGAGGGCCTCGCCTTCCCTCTTAGAATCCCACTCTCACCTTCTGTGCGGACTCAGCTCTTCCTTTCTCTGACATGACCTCCCACACTTAGTGCTGAGCGCCCTGGGATGTGAAGAAAGAAGATGCCTGTCGTTGTCTAGTCCACAAGGCAAGCAGGGAACAGGAGCTCCACAGGTACGTTACTCGCCCCAGGACCTCAGCAAACTCTTGACACACTCTCCACGTCTCAGTGTCACACTCCTCTCCCGAGTGGCAGCAGTCCTGGACAAGTTCTGGATGGTTCTTGGCTTCCCCTAGCTTCTTCTAGAGATGCGGCATGTACAGTGGAAACAATTGCAAAAATGCAATTCCAACAGAAAAATGAAAGCCAGGCGTGGCAGCCCCTGCCTGCCGTCCAGCACGTGGAAGCTGAAGTGGGAGAATGACGTCATGAGTGAGTTCCAGGCCAGCCTGGGGTGTAGCTCAGTGGGTAGGGTGCATGCCTAGCGTGCACTAAGTTTGAGGTTTGCTCCCCAGTACCACATAGACTGCACGTGGAGGCCTATGCCTGACATCCCAGCACTTGGGAGCTCAGAAAGGAACATCTTGGTTATATAGAGAGTTCCAGGCTAGCCTGGGCTACAGAGTGAGACTGTCTCCAAAACAAATTTTAAATTTCCCACAATTCTTACCCAAGATTCACTAGAAAGTTTTCATCGAGTATCATGAACCCAGCTAAGGCCCAGCCATGCCGCGACCTCTCTCTTTAGAAGACACTCTCTAGTAGCCTAGAAACCAATCACAACTTCTGATCTTTGTCTCAAATTTCCTTTTTGAGGCTGAGTCTACATGCCTTCCCCAGCAGCACAGAATGGGAGAGCAGGTGGTAGGGAAGGTGTGGGTGCTGTGAGTGCCCAGCTCAGCTCAGGAAAATGCCCTCCAGACACAGCTTGGTTCCTTCTACCACAGCATACTGAACTCTTTAATCATGAACTACGGCCCTGACGGGAGAGCGATATCCCTGCGCAGGGCTCCCCTTCCACAAGGGCATGTCAGTAACCTGGGACTCCAAGGCCACCGGAGGTCAACTTTCTCCACTGTGCTCTAGCAGCAGGCGGTGAGGACAACCAGGCTTGGGGACAGCTCTTGTCCCTCCCTGTTATCCTCCAAGTAGCCTACTGCCACCAGCACCAGGTCCAGATGCATCCTAGGTGTGGCAGGAAGGGCAGAAGCTGAGCTCTGGATTCTGCCTGGCACCTCTTCCCAACACTCTGAGTTCCTGGAACCTTCTCCTGCTGAGAGGGTATCTGCAGGCCCCCTCTGCCTCACGTGTGCCCACTGTCAGCTCACTCGCCCACCTGCAGGTGTTGGCCATCTTCTCCTGCACGTGGCCATGGCCAGGGGATCCTTCATCTCCATCTGCAGCACCGTCTCAGTCAGAAATCAGGGTTTGTTTTCTTAATTAACTGAAAACACTAACACAGGAGTCCCAGAGCTGGCAGGGGCCTGGCCTTCAGTAGCTGCTCAAAAAAAAAAAAAATGTTACTTTGAAATCTGGATCATCTGAGGCCCCCAAATGGGATGTCAAAACAAACAGGGACACTTGATCTCAGGGTGCAGGGGCTGGCGCCAGCTCAGGTTACAAAAGCAGAGATGGATTTGTGCACAGTGTCAACAGGTGATGAGATCCTGGGCACAGCTGGACCCACAAAGGCCCCCTCCTGCTGCATGGGCTCTCTGGGAGGAAGAGAGGTCGCCAGGGCTTACTCTAACACGTTTCTGGGTGGGTATAGAGCTGGGAGGAGAGGAGGCAGCAGATAAGACAAGTTCCATTGATGCTCAGCCTTGGAATACAGTTAGGGATAACTGACTAGGATGCAGCATAATCGAGCTGCTGGAGAGCTGGCACAAATTAACAGGCACAGGAGAGCGGAGGATGCCATGTGCTGGCGAGGACTAAGAAGAGGAAGGTCAGGCAGGATGTGAAGAGGACATGCCTGACCTGAAGAAGGGATCAAAGTCAAAAGTGGGTGGTGGGTAGGACAGAGGTGAGGGTGGGAGTTCCAGGGGAAGGCTAGAAGGCGAGAAAGACAGGCGAGTCTTCAAGATGGGTGGGTGGGAGGCTGGGGGTGCAGTCTAGCTGGTAGACTGCTTGCCTAGCAGGAGAGAAGACTGGTGTTTGATCTCCAGCACGACAAAACCAGAGTGTGGTGGCAGCAACCTTGTGATCCCACTACTTGGGAATAGAGGCAAGAGGATCTGGAGTTCAGGGTCATCCTTGGCTACATAGCAAGTTTGAGTCCTGCCTGGGCTACATGAGATCCTGGAGAGCAAAGAAAAAAAGAAGAGGAAAGAGGGAAGGGAGGGGAGGGAAGGGGGAGGGGAGGAAGAGCGGAGGGGAGGGAAGGAGAAGGGAGGAGGGGAGAGGAAGAAAGGGGAGAGGAAGCGAAGGGAAAGGAGGGGAGGGAAAAGGGAGGGGAAGTGGAGGGAAGGGGAGGGGAAGGGGAGGAAAAGGGAGGAGGGGAGAGGAGGAGAGGGGAAGGGGAGGAGAAGGGAGGAGGGGAGAGGAGGAGAGGGGAAGGGGAGGAGAAGGGAGGAGGGGAGAGGAGGAGAGGGGAAGGGGAGGAGAAGGGAGGAGGGGAGAGGAAGGGAGGGGAAGGAAAGGGGAGGGGAGAGGAGGGGAGGGGGAAGGAAAGGGGAGGGGAGAGGAGGGGGAGGGAAGGGAAGGGAAAGGGGGAGGGGAAGAGAGAGGAGAAGTGGAGGAAAAGGGAAGAGAAGGGAAGAGAGAGAAGTAGAGGAGAGGAAAGCCAAGTGGGAGCCTGTGCCTGGGGATCCCAACTCATGGAGGCCCAAGCAGATGTGCCATGGGGAACTAACCATGGGCTACTTGGGGCCGATTCCATCCAGGCCAGGGGCTAGCCTGCTGTGGCCCGTAAGCCAAATCTGGCCCTGGCTGCCTTTGCAAGCCCAGTTTCGATGGAGCTTTGCCACACAGATCTATTTACAGACTGTCTGTGGCTTCTTCAACGCCAAGAAAAGAACAGAGTGGGGAGACACGAAGCTTGTGACCCTCAAAGCCGAACCTTTGATGCTCAGAATCTCTGCAGGAGACACTGGCAGATCCCCAACGGGGGTGGGGTGGGGGTGGACAAGAGAACCCAGCTCAGCTGAGCACAGAAACCAGCCTGTGCAGACACAGTGGAACACATGAAGAAGGGGACATGACCACAAGCCACCTCTCTCCACGGTGAATTCTGAACTTCCTGCCTCCTGGACTGGCAAAGTCTCCCACCCAAAGAGGGTTCTGTGTGCCCAGCCTCACTAAAGGTCCAGGAACCAGGCCTGCCCTAGAGGCACATTTGTCACAGCCGTGGCTTCCTACCGTGAGGTTGGCACCATGGCCTTCTCACCCAGTAGACAGGTCCCGGAAGAGGCTGGGATTTGTGGAAGCTGGGAGGATGCTGCTCTCTGAGAAGATGCCAGTGTTCCAGGAGGCCTGCAGTCCCCTTCCGAACCTCAGCATACTGTCCCTTCTGCAAAGGCCCACCCAGGAAGGTACAAAGATTTGTGGAGCCGGAGGAGCAGTATTTAAAGCATGACACCTTGCTCCAAATTCAAGGTCACCTCTCCTAACTCACTTGTTTCCGAGTCTCTGGCCTTGGCCCATCCCAAGCCTGAGAGCAGGGGGTTACAGGCTTCAGACCTTGTTCTTCTCAGCCTAGTCCCTTCTGCTCAGAGGAGGAATACTGTACAACATCCCTCATGGTTTACCCCGGCCGTCCTTCAGAGTCCTCTTTGGTCCTTTGGGCTCCCATTCAGACTCTCGTGTAAGACACAAAGCTTCCAGACATTAAACACTTCATTTTGAAAGACCATACATTACCAACTTGAACACTGGGACAAAAAATAATTCTGATGCCAGTAGTAGGCTATATGGCAGCCACCCAGCTGATACAGAACTTTTAGATAATTATTAAAGTGAAAACACAATGTAGCAATTTGTCAAGGAAGAAAACATTCTCCTCCAGTCTTCTCAGACCTTGAGAAGAACATTCTCCCACTCCCAGAAGGCTCTCAGAGCCTATGGCAGAAGACTGGGTGCCAGTCAACATGCAGGCTATGCAGTTAAGCGGCCCTGGGCCCTTGCCAGCCTTTGCCCAGCTGTGCCTTTGGTGACTACCACATGGCTGACACACGAAAGCTATTAGTTCAACTTAGTTAAAGAAATGAACGGAATGAGTGGGTGAGGGGGATGGGTGGATGAGGGGATGGATGGGTGAGGGAAGGATGGGTGAGGGACTGGATGGGTGAGGGAAGGATGGGTGAGGGACTGGATGGGTGAGGGAAGGATGGGTGAGGGAAGGGATGGGTGAGGGAAGGGATGGGTGAGGGACTGGATGGGTGAGGGAAGGATGGGTGAGGGACTGGATGGGTGAGGGAAGGGATGAGTGAGGGACTGGATGGGTGAGGGAAGGATGGGTGAGGGACTGGATGGGTGAGGGAAGGATGGGTGAGGGACTGGATGGGTGAGGGAAGGGATGAGTGAGGGACTGGATGGGTGAGGGACTGGATGGGTGAGGGAATGGATGGATGAGGGAAGGGATGGGTGAGGGAATGGATGGGTGAGGGAAGGGATGGGTGAGGGAAGGGATGAGTGAGGGAAGAAATGGGTGAGGGAAGGATGGGTGAGGGAAGGGATGAGTGAGGGAAGGGATGGGTGAGGGAAGGATGGGTGAGGGAAGGGATGGGTGAGGGACTGGATGGGTGAGGGAAGGATGGGTGAGGGACTGGATGGGTGAGGGAAGGGATGGGTGAGGGAAGGATGGGTGAGGGAAGGATGGGTGAGGGAATGGATGGGTGAGGGACTGGATGGGTGAGGGACTGGATGGGTGAGGGAAGGATGGGTGAGGGACTGGATGGGTGAGGGAAGGGATGGGTGAGGGACTGGATGGGTGAGGGAAGGATGGGTGAGGGACTGGATGGGTGAGGGAAGGGATGAGTGAGGGACTGGATGGGTGAGGGAAGGATGGGTGAGGGACTGGATGGGTGAGGGACTGGATGGGTGAGGGAAGGGATGAGTGAGGGACTGGATGGGTGAGGGACTGGATGGGTGAGGGAATGGATGGATGAGGGAAGGGATGGGTGAGGGAATGGATGGGTGAGGGAAGGGATGGGTGAGGGACTGGATGGGTGAGGGAAGGGATGGGTGAGGGAAGGATGGGTGAGGGAAGGGATGAGTGAGGGAAGGGATGGGTGAGGGAAGGATGGGTGAGGGAAGGGATGGGTGAGGGACTGGATGGGTGAGGGAAGGATGGGTGAGGGACTGGATGTGTGAGGGAAGGGATGGGTGAGGGAAGGATGGGTGAGGGAAGGATGGGTGAGGGAATGGATGGGTGAGGGAAGGATGGGTGAGGGAAGGATGGGTGAGGGAAGGATGGGTGAGGGAATGGATGGGTGAGGGAAGGATGGGTGAGGGAATGGACAGGCGAGGGAAGGGATGGATGAGGGACTGGATGGGTGAGGGAATGGATGGGTGAGGGAATGGATGGGTGAGGGAAGGATGGGTGAGGGAAGGGATGGATGAGGGAAGGGATGGGTGAGGGACTGGATGGGTGAGGGAAGGGATGGATGAGGGACTGGATGGGTGAGGGAAGGGATGGGTGAGGGAAGGATGGGTGAGGGAAGGATGGGTGAGGGACTGGATGGGTGAGGGAAGGGATGGATGAGGGACTGGATGGGTGAGGGAAGGATGGGTGAGGGACTGGATGGGTGAGGGACTGGATGGGTGAGGGAAGGATAGGTGAAGCATGGATGAATGAGGAAATAGATAGACGAGGAAATGGATGGATGAAGACATCCAAGTCTCATTGTGAGTTTCCAGCTCTGAGGGTGCATGATCTTCAACCTCTGAGCTTTGGTTTCTGTAAAATCCACAAAACTGTTCATGGCTCAGGTGATTTCTTTGGGTGGGGGCTGGGGGGTAACCTGCTTGGTAAAGCACTCACTTGTCATCAACTCATGTGATCCCCAGAACCCTCGCCCAAAAGGCCAGTGCAGTAGAAGGTTCTTACAATCCCAGGGCCAGAGAAGTGGAGACAGAGGACCCCTGAGATTTGGTGATCAGTCAGTCTTTCGTAATCAGCAAGCCCCAGGCCAGAGAGACACCATATCTCAATAAATAAGGTAGATGGCAGCTGAGAAACGTCTGGGGTTGTCCTCTGGCCTCCACCAGCATGTATACACATGTTCACCTGAACACAGATGCACACACACACACACACACACACACGCACACGCACACGCGCACACGCACACGCACACGCACACACACACACACGCACGCATGCACGCACACACACGCACGCACGCACGCACACACACACGCGCACGCACGCACGCACACGCACGCGAATTCCTATAGAATTCAATGAGGAGATAAGGCTTTGCCACAGTGACCGATGCCTTCGAGGCACACAGTGAATGGTACTGGTCATTACGACTCTGCAGGGATAGTCTCTGG